ACGGACGACGCACGACGGAAAATGGCATGTTTGGAACTGGTAAATGGCAGAATTGGGACACAACCAAAAGCAAAAGGCGACGGACGACGGGCGACGGGAGATATGGAATTCCATAATGAACAGACAAGTTGCATGTTAACTCCCGGTACCATGGTTCTATGTAACTCTATATGCAGCAGGCATGGTTTAAACTGCAGTGACGTCACACTTACGAACCGGATAGAGGAGCACGAGCTAGAGGTACCCACATGCGCAGTTTGCTGGGTTTAATGGATGGGTCTATTCGGATAACTAACTGATTCCTAAAAAGATCCTGGGACCACGACCAATTTGAGATATCATTACGTCCAGTAGCTGCAACTGTCACATGACCAAAGGAGAAGAATTCCTCCTTTCCTGAAAACCCCCAAAACTTCCGATTTTTCCTGAAGCTTTTCCTTTGAATTTCGGGCACTGTTGTCGACTGCGAGAATACTAGGCAAAATATCAATTGTTTCCCTTGTAGATTCCCGATTTCACACATCAAGAATAGTTCAATTTTTGGATCCGGTCAGGTCGCGACAGTCGGGTCAGTTTGATTTGGTCCGGTCCACTTTGCACAACTGGTTAAGCTCACTGACCGAGGCGGGGCATCCTGAACACAGTGGTTTTATTTACATGATCAGCGGCTATCTGCCCTCCTTTTCTTTTCAGGGAACCAACCTGTGCGTTGATACGTTTCTTATCAGTTCACCCATAGCGAGTTGAACTGAAGCCGTGCAAAGGCGCTTTTCCGTAGGTATGTTTTTGAATGCGTTGGGTACACGATGCTTTCTTTCATGGACACAAAAAAACCAACTCCATTATGTAACAGACGTGGCGTGTACGTTGAGTTCGGCCGTCAATATGGCTATCTGAATGATAAAAATCTTAATTTTGACGAATAGGCAACGCATGGCGCAAGTGTTGATGCGCTATGGATAGGCGCCTTAAGTCAACAGCGCGTCCTCAAGGCCTAGTAGTGATTGGTCGAGTATAGTAATGTTGTCAAAGTGGCGTGTAATTTCAAGCCACAGCCATATGATTCGAACTGGTGGGCAGTGTGTCATATCTTTATTTCGACAAAGCCTAATCGTGGTTGGTCGCGTGTACCCACACACAACCAACCTCAATAATCCTACAGTTTACCTTTGCCGTATTCTTTGACTGCTTCCAATGCTAGCAGTGCTTCACCAAAATCACTGAACGTCTCTGCGAGAATGAAATCAGCGCCTTCCTCAACAGCCCACTCGATCTGCTCCTAGAATTAGGGGTACAAAAGTCGACATTTTTCACCATCTGTTGGGAACATGCAGTAAGAGTAATAGAACAGGAAATGAAGCCAATTGTCAACCTGTCACTCCCGGGCATTTAGACCTATTTTATATTTATACCAAAAGGCGAAACTGAGTGATAAACAAGCTGTATCGATCTCTTATACCATCTTATTTGTGGAATATCATTGCCCAGTGTCTACTTACTTCATGTTTGCTCTGTAATCAAACAAACAGATGTGCTCTAGTCAGAGCTTTTGAATATCTCTTTTCTTTTCTCTACTCACTTCAGTTTCACTTAGCTGAAGAACGGACACCTTCCTTGAAGGGCTAGCTGTACAACAGCTCTTTCTTGGGCGGTAAAGCGCTCAACAGTAGTTGATTAAAAAGTCATCATTATCCCTTTTCTTGTTTCTTTCCTTTCGCTGTCTTTTCCCTTATTTTCCTTACAACTTTTCCTATTTTTCAGGTGCAGAAGACCGACTCCCCCCATAAACTCTGCCATATATCATTCGAATGCCACGTTCAACGGTGTAATTTCTCTGTCAAACGCACTGGCAGGCTTTTGTTGAGTTCTCTCTTTATTACCTTGAACATATCCTTGACTTTCGCAGAGATGTCCGGATTGTTTGGCTCGTATATGTTGCTATTACAGATGTTTCCAGCCATTAGCGATCCGGTTTGATCTGCTACCTCTCTGGCCATGCGCAGTGCTGTTCTATTCATTTTCTCAATGTCTGACTCACGTTCAATCAGTGACACTTTTTCACGGTGAGCATAGTACTTTAAAAGACAAAAAAGTAACGAAAAACAGTGACACAGTATTTAAAAGAGAAATGGAAGAAAACAGGAAAATATTCTGTTTTTTTGTTTTTGTTTTTACAAAATCACGAAGCTAAACACAAATCGATGCTACTAAAAGAGGGGAATCTGCCCCTCAATATTTGTTTCGATTATTCATGTTGATGTTTGTATTTGTTCTCAAGAATGACCATTTCTTTTATTCACTTGGAAGCATTGTTATTGTGTAGTAATTCGTTGGAACGAATTAATAATTGGTGAGAATAAAATCGCAATTCTCTCGAAATACCAACGTAAACAAATTTCCATACGGTCCTTTCTTGGGCTGCATACAGTCCAAAGATTATGGGAGGAACAAATTGAGGAATTTTCCGGTGCCCCTCAGGTTTTTAATGTCCAGTAGTTCTGGACATGCGGATACATAGGCGATGCATCACTTTGTTACAAATAATAAGTCATGCGGGGTGTCATCTTCTTTAACATAACAATTGTAATTTCAGTTATTCATTCACTATTGTGGGGGGAGGAGATTTAACAGCCCCCACATCCGTAAGGTAAATCAATCGGATACCAAAATTTGACGAGCCAAGTGCTCTTAGTGTGCGTAGTGTAGGTGCGTTGCCAACGTGACTTTTTGTCATCTACACGGCTCCTATGGCAAAAAGGCTTTGACGAAGCTTGTCACAGTAGCCTAACGACAAAGGATGAAATACTGATCTGGAAAAGTTTTCATGCTGATGGAAGTATCGCAGATAGCGTTGCAGATACTCGATTATTAGATTTAGAGGAGTCAGCAGGCAACCAAGAGGAAAATACAGTTTCTTTGGATATCTTTGGAATTTAGCAACAGGAAGATTTCAAAGAGATCATAAAACAATGCAAAACTCTTTGGTAGTTTTGTCAGTTTAATGTAGTATTTTCATGTCGGTTAAAATTACCGTAAAAGCCAAAACCACGTCACTCCCTGCCCTGTAAAACTCCTCGTATTGTTGGCGAACTAGATGCGGGTATTCCACAACCACCTCCGGTACGAACGCTCCGGCCTTCAAGTAACCACGTCGCTCAAAAACAAAAAGATATCCCTCCGCGATGACCACTGTTTCGCCGTCACGTAGGCGGTCCATCAGACCTACATGAAGACAAACATAGTGATCGACAATCAATCCTCTCATACGAAAGCTCTGTTGTGTCATTAAGTATTCATCATGTATATTTTCACTTTCCAAAGTTCGTTTGTGGTTATATGTATTCTTCTGTTCGTGCTTATGGGATCTATTTTCAGAGACACTGTTTCTTTTTAAGGAAACAAGTCTTTTTACAGGATATAGGCCTAATTTTGATTGCGTTTGTTTTTCAAGTTCATTTTTAAGAGATAAGTATTTGGAATTGGTTCTAGGCATCAATGCCTTACCCCCATACCATGATTCGTTGCAAAATCTATAAATGTCAGTCTACAAGGTGCTGGGTTGTAATGAAATCAACAATCCACGTGTGCATCGTATTCAAGCATCAGGAACGTATCGCCAGCAGTACATGTGTTGGTACATGTGCATCATTGCTGAAAAGACCTTGACAAAATCGGCTTTATGCGGCACAACGATCCGATGGAAAGACCCTAAGCCCAGGGGGGGGGGACTCATACCCCGGATCTACACCTTTGTCACCGGTTTTCGGATCTTACATGTAGTGGCAATCTTCGAAGTATATATTTTGTCATTTAAATCCTTGACAGTGTTAGCACAGAAGGTTTACCCTGGACTGTCCAACGGTAAGAAGGATGGCTGCACATTAAGTCTAGACATGCATCAGTAAGAATGATTTCATCGTGCAGCAAAAAATGCGTACTGACTTTAAGCCTTCCTTATTCTGAAGGTCCACTTTGTTTATGGGTCAATTAGGCCAGAAAAAAATTATATATTATAATAAAAACTTCTCCGCTTTCTGGCCAGGAGCTAGATCCAAAAGTGGTGCGGCGACGCGGCTATTTTTTACCCTCATTTTTTTTCTAACAGGCAATCTCCATCGCGACTGCTGGCACATGCCACACACTAAAATATACCGGGCCCCGCACTTCCTAACTGTTTGAAAGCAGGGAAGAGCCACTGAGATAGGACTGGAGAGCTCAGTCGGTAGAGGATACGTTATTCCGAAAGCCGTAGGTTCAAATCCCCCTCCATTCAGTTTCTTTGTTCATCATTATAAAGCATTTTAAGCTTGTGAATGTACACAGGACTTACGACCACCTCGCTTGTCTGGTTCCCAGATGTAAATGTATAACACTGTACATATTGCTCAACCGTACCCCATCAAAACGCGTTACAATTACGCAGTAGCAGGATTCCACCTCTTGGACATCGTTTTATACCAAATGATAACTTTCTTATTTTGCCAACAAGCAAGTCTGTGGCCGACGCGCACGCTGATCAGAAACCGGAGACCTTTTTTATTCTGGCCTTAGAGGGCAAGTTTGGGTAGCTTCTTGTCTTATGAGAACAAAAATAGTTTGAATTAAAGCATGTCAGATTTGTTAAATTTTCACAAACGCTCGGAAAAAACACTGAGATTACAGTGTTAGGAATTTACGTCGGGTATGGGCAAAACCCGTAAATAAAAATCAACATTTCCCCAACGCAACTTGAGGTTCATGTTGAAGATCAGATTTCTTCAGCAAACCTATTCAGTCAGCAGCTAAATGTTTAATCAACGGGGATTGTTGAAAGAGAAATAAGGAAATACGCAGGTTCAGCTGCCAAGCACAGGTGTAACAATGCGTTGTGGTCTCCTGAAAAGCAGGCTTTGTCTGGATTGAGCCAGTTCATTCCAGCTGTTTGCAGGTTAAACGTACTTGTTTACTTCCAAGAGGAGTCCTTACTGGTTTAGGCGTGAGGTCAAAATACAAACGCTTTTGAAAGCGTTCAACGCTTTGTTAACGGTAAGCCTCACGGACGGTCAACATCGAACAGACGAACGCTTCAGCGAGGCTGGCCAAACCGTTGCGGTCGAGTACACCTTGCACTCTGCAGCTTCCAGTAAACAACGGACAGCTCATCGCATTACGGCATCATAGACTTCTGCGGTCTGTCATAACAATAGCTCTTTATTTTGCAGCTCCACAGGAGGATTTAGATCGGCAGACTGTTTTAACTTCCTGATAAAACGCGTGTATTGAGTAGTTGTGTTGCGCTGTAGGTTCCAGACCAGTCTTTTCAGGTCTCAATACCCTGTAATCTTGTTATTTTGTCTCGGTATAACAAATAGAAAGTCCTTTGGGTATCGGTCTGTGGGTCACCTGCATGGTTCGCAAATTTCCCTGGACTTGCAAGCTTGAACAAAAGGCAAAGCCCAATAAATGACACAAATCCTGCCACATCTATCTAAATCCTATCATTTTCTTTCCAACACAGTAAAGGTTTTCAGCTTGTTGCCCTCATTGTGAACTACGAATCGAACTTGATCTATTCTTGTACAGGGGTCATTGTCAACGAATATACAATTCCATGACATGCGATCAACTATCCAGCAGATCAAATAAAAACGGGCAATCCTAGGAATTCTTACTCATTGCGCCCACTGTATGAACTGGCCTTTACGTGCATTCCTCGCAAAACAAACAAACAAACACCCCAACAAACAAACAACGTAATTAAGTAAACGACTAAAACAGCCATTTCGATTCTCTACTTTTCCTAAAGTGTAAACTGTAAATCAACATCAATGTCATTTTTCACCCTCCTTGCCAGCAAGCAAATTATCCGGTGTGCAACAATTAGCCTGATTCTGCTACATAGCATTTCAGCTTCAGTGCACGTATAGTTTCCTTGCTCACGAAAACTTTCACTTTCTGTGCTTTCAGAAAATTTCCTTGCACTCACACAACACTTTTTCATTTCAATGTTTCAAAGTAGTTGGCCTATACCTTTAACTTTTCCAGGCATCTTGATGTTTCTTCTGTGTCATACAAAGTCCACTCTGCGCTCGATGTCTGCTGGCTTGGGTGTTCACGTAAAGGAATGCCCTTTTTGCATAGTGCCGGCATTTATATAGTGCCGACGTGTGACGTCATTTTGAACCTGACGTGTGGCGCAAGCATTGATCACCCCCGTCACCTGATCGCCATTTTAAAAAGTGAATAGGACATGTGTACATGACAGGACAGTTAGGATTCTGAAAACGCGGACAGCTGGGTTGGGAGGGTTTGTTGGATTTTATGCATCTCTCTGCGGTATCTCGGTTTGGGACGTTGTATAAATTAATCCCAGAGATTAATGGGGCTAAAGTTTTAGCTTCGAAATGTTCCTTGAGAAGAATGTTTAAGGAATGGGATCAAATGAAGGTGGTTTGTGTGAATATTGGCAAAAATATATACAGTAAGTGCTCTTAATTTATCATGTTGCCGAACATTCGGTAGCTGGGTACCTTCGTCAGGGCAAGCAGATTCAGTTCTGATTGAACACAGAAAAATCCACGTTCATTCCACCTGGATACAGAGTCCAAGTTCGAAGATGACGCAACTATAGTGCTCCAGTTCCTTACGCTGTACATCGGATGACGCTGTCCGCAGGATGCACACGCTTACGTCACTGCGAGTATGCGGCACCCTGCGGAAAGCGTCATGCGATGTCAGCGTGAACAGGGCGCTGGAAAGGACTGATGTCTTTGGCTACACTGTGCACGACCTGTGGCCACGAGGTTAGCACTTCCTGTGAACAAGTGTTATTTTAAAATTTTTGGTACGCCAATGACAATGCTTTGATAGGGGCAACGTGTCGACTATAAAGACATGGCCTTAGAACAATCACTGTGTGGTAATTTATCTTTCCACTAAGTATCACTGACCACGTGTCTTTGGCGATATATTTAACATCAGTGGTTATTTTGATCAATTTTGGGTGAACGAATAAAGTGTAATAAGAATATCTGTAGCAAGGAGGGAAAAAAGCAAAAAGTTGAATTGGTAACCGCCGCTTGAATAATTAACGCATTGAGCGAGCTGACGCGCCCGACAGAAACTTACCCACAATTCTCAGCGCGTCGTTAGCTGTGACCAATGATCTCCATTATAAAGACTAATGGCTGTGACCCCGGTTGACGTTTTCCTTCACTAAAGTCTGTGCAAAGCTATCGGCCAAGTGACGAGCGAACCTGAAGGCATGAGCATTTTTATTACACAACTCTCTTGCAATGCACCATGAACTTTACTATGTCAGTCTTGAGAGGAACTAGTCTTCACACTTCGTGAAGAGTCACGATTATAACCTTTATAGAAGTCGGGTTTCCCCAGCGTGTTGGGCAAAATTGCACGGAGAAGGGTAAATAAATTGGCCTCTTTCATGAGTCATCCATATATAATTGAAATCCAGGAGACCCGTTTAAAGGTTTTAAAATTTAATCTGCGAGAACGAAGATGGCGTAATTAGATCCAAATTATAGGTCTTCGTGTTCCGATTGGTCGTTCAACATAACAGATAAAAGAGACTTCATCTTTGCTGAAGCGTTGAGAAAACTAATTGTATTTATTTATAATCCTATCACTGAACCTGCTGCAACGATGACGGTGTGATTCTAAAAAATGGTTACTGCAAGTCCTTATTTAATCCCACAAATTCATAGATTTCTTTTTCTTTCAATGTTTGAACAGCGTAATGTAGATGTTACAATATGGAAACTTGTAAATTAGCGATACAGACGGTGCCCCTCATCCCCAACTTTGTAATATTTTTGCGAGGTGTAAATGTTTGAAGTACAAAAATGCCAAGGACATCTATCAGTCCTAATGTATAAAGGCCTTATTGGTCACGTCGTCGACGTGGAAGACTAAGCCAGTGACGAGCCTCCGCTAAAGTGACTTCATAATACGAGCAGTACTTCACAAGCTTCACATGGAAAAAAATATGACGTATATTCCGTCCATGAACAATATGGATATATCGTGCTGTATACATTAAGGTCCTCAACATCCAAGGTTATTCTTTTGTCTAATCATGTGCACAGTATTATTTATAATATTGAATTTAGAAATCTGGGCTTTAATAAGCTTTTTATTTCCTTTGTGGATAAAATTATGTAAATTTTGCAAGTAACAGGAGCACAAGATGATGCCAAAGTAAACATGTTAAAAACTCCCGTTAAGGCGAGGAAGGGACAAATCTTTTCGTGTTCTGATACTGATGTTGCATTATGTGGACTGGGGTAGTAACTTGCTCCTGTGGACGAGGTGTATCGTACTGCGGAGCCTCATCACGGGTCAACTCCTCTCGTTTGTAATACGTATGCTGAATTTCAGCACTCTTTTTCAGCTCCAGTATTTCTGCGTAGTTGCCGTTTTCCTCGTCTTCATCCGCGCGGCGTTTCGATAAACCGGGAACTGGCTTGAGCTCCATGAACTCCTCATGTGACCACTCGGCTATCTGTTTCCTGGGTTTACTACGATGTCTCTCGCAGAGAAGGCAGATGTTACCGATGAGGGAAATGAAGAGCAAGGCAAGACTTCCTGACATGGCAGCAATCCAGGGGAATTTGTCCAAGAGAATAGATGGAGACTGGCAAAGATGACAAAAAGACAGGTCAGTCATTCTGGTGGTTGGCATTTCGTCCGGAAGCGTGACGGCTTCAGAGCTAAGCGTTACCACAGTCGATGCAATTTCGGTTTCCTGCCTGTCAGTGACTGTTGTATTGTTATTCGACTCAGTCATTCTAATCCCAGGCGTCGTCATGGTAAGCACGTTAATGGGCCCAATGCTACATGTGCGCGTCAGTCGCGGAAACCCGGCCGAGGATATGGAGAAATTAAACACTTTGCCGTCGTCGATTTTTTGAATTATTCTCTCAAACGACTGCATCTGTACATTGTTATCTATCATGGAAGTTATCCAATTGTAATCATAGTCACGTGTCAGACGAAGCGTGGTGACTGGTGGCTCTCCACGCTCAACTTTGAAGCTTAAATACTGAGCAGCCCCTTCCTGAATTGTGAATGATCCGCTTGGGAAACAGATTGGAATCGGAAAGTACAAGATGGTTAAATACAACCCAGCTGATACCGATATGGTCTCTTGATTCTTGACACTGCAGAAGTACATCCCACTATCTTCGTTGCAACTGACATTAGTGATATCTAGCAACTCGGTTCTGGAGGCAGTGGAAGCGGACACTGAGTAGAAACCGTTGACGGCAAATTTTTCTCGCAAACTTTCGCCGTTTCTCGCTAACACCTCCTCCGTCGTTCCTTCCCTCGTCCACTCAACGGTGTGGCCCTCAGAGGGTCCGAAAATCTGGCATCGCAGCGTTACCGCGTCACCCTGCACGGGGTCGCCCCTTGGGAACACTTTTTCTATGTCGACTGAGACTCTTTGGGCGTCGACGCCTTGTTTCTCTGCACCAAGAACTAATGCCAAGCACAGCGCGCGCAGCATCCAACATCCTCGATCCATCTTTGTTAACTATGTGACTGACAACTAACCGCTTTTCTCTGCCACTCAACTGCCTGAGCAAGGAAATAGCAGTAGGTACCTAAAAGATATCGCGCAGGAAGTATGTTACGCATGCGCATTCCTTCAAGGAAACTTCCATGGCAGTTTCCCACTGCACTCACTACCATTGCTGACGCAATGCCAAAAAAATACCATGCAGGAAATGTTTGCCCCACGCACCAATTTTCAAGGAAATGTTCAGGGCAGTTTACCTCTCAACTCAGCGGCACTTTGACTAAGCGTATAACAAATGATAACAAATATAAGATCACCTTGTGATTAGCGTGAAACTCAAGCATTTAACGTGTAATTTGTATCCTGTTTTGTAATCCATCAAGACTGACTAGGCCTGCTGGAGTTGAAATTTCCCACTGCAATAAGACCCACTGTGGAAATACATGCTAAATTTGTGCGTCCAATAAATTTGCTTGCATGAGTTGAAGTCTGAGGCGGACTGTTCAGGCGATTAGCTCAAATGCACGTTTTGTTGTGTAAATGGTGACCTTGCAAGCGACAATTTTATCACAGAAATTGTACACGTGACCGTAATCACACCCCAGTCTTTTCGCATTATGAAACCATGAGTTGAAGGACGCAAAAGAACCAGGAAGCTTTGGTGGAGTCTTATCAGATCGAGTCTTATCAGTTGTTCCACTCAACCTCAACAAGACGATGGTATCCTTACTGAGATCATTTATTCACTTTTGTTGTGTTCAGTTACGTTAACCCTGATTGAAAAGAGCCCACATACGCGACCCTCAGAAAGTTGACAAGGACCAGTCCAGACGTGTGAGATGGCTTATGTACAATGTATTGCTAACTCATGTGCACTTAGTGTTGTAAGACAAGAATCTGTCTTGTCACCCAGAAATTTAATTAAAGGTCGTGTCTCGCTCGATCCTGCCACACAGGAATCAATTACTAGTCTCGAACCATTAACTGAATTTTCCGAAATTATAAAAACTTGCATTTACTTATTCGCAACCTCTTGTAAAGTATAACTGCCACATCTTTGGAATCTTTAATTGGATCAATAGGGCCATATTGTATAAAAAATATTAATCTATAATATCGCTCACGAGGCTTAAAGGCCGGTTCGTACCTTGGCCTAAAAGCGAAAACGAACACAAATTCGTGAGGTAACAATCGCTCTTCGAATTCGCCAAGTTGAACATTATTTCAACTCGAACAAATCTGGCTGCAAAGGTTTTGTGACGTCAAATTCACTGTGCTTTCGCATTCACCTGAAGCATGAAAACGCCTCGAGACTTAACTTTGACAAACAGATCTGATGATATCATAACGTTTCTTGTTGTCTGAATTTAATCTGCCCAGCTCTATACTCCGAGGTTACTGTTCAGTACTGTTAAACTGCATCAAGAGTTCTTTTGAAGTTTAGGCGACTTGGAGTGCTGATTAGTAAACCGCGTTCGTGTTTACTTTCAGGCAGAATTTGAGTCAAGCGACCTATCTAAGGTAGCAATCATCAAGAAACATGACGTCCCCCATAGCAAAGTGTGTTTTGAGTGTTTTTACCAAAA